TTATAGGGCACAGGCCTATATTAAAGTTCATGGGCCTTCAATTATACTACACATGACTACAATTTTAGTGCATAGTCCTATAATTATAGTAAATAGGCCTACAATTATAGTACTTAGGCCTTATATTATAGTGATTGGGCCCATAAATATTGCATCAATGTTCTCTACCTATTTAACTCAGAACTTGCGTTCCAACTGCTTAAAAAAAATACCATTATGTTAACTCTATTAACACCATCTCTTTTATAAAACGGAAGAGTAAAACTATGGCTACAAGTTTAGACTCTCGATCGCGACATTAACGCAAGACTTAATGCACCAGTTTCTCGGTCCCAATGTCTTAAGGGATTTTTTTTTTTTTTAAAACTACTTTTGAGAAATCGAACGTTACTTCGGTAGCCTTCGTCAGCGCCATGGCTCATGCGCATCCAATCGAAAAGCAGAGGAAAACAAGTCAGTAGAGTTAAATGACATATGCAGGCAACACGCGGGGCTAAAATTAGGTTGGTTAATTTAAATGATGGATGATCGTGATGGGTTTGGGAGTGGGGGGGAGGGGGGTAAAAGTAACAGATTGTTTAGTTGTGATAGTGAATGAAAGTTAATTGTCTGAGTGAGTCTTTCGCCACCTCCACCCCCTTCCCCCCAAACATGCTCACATGAATGACAAGCACACTGCGCGTTGCTACCATAGCTTGTGAGAAAACTAGACACAATCTTTGTGTGAATGATCTAAGAATGAAATCTTTGAAAGTACACACATTGCAAAATAAAGTAGCGATTTTTTAAATGTATTTATTTTTTTGATTTTTGTTTATTTAATTTGTTTATTTCTTCTTTTTAGTAGGACCGATAACTCGGACGTTAATGTTAAAAAAATCTGACATCACTTATACTCTTCAAGGGGGATGAAATTTGAAGCGACGCACATCCGTGTCTTGTGAGCCATGGATAACCGTTTGAGAACCACGGCTGTAATGTAAGGAGCAACGACAGAATAGAATACACAGTAAGATTGGCTGTAACGTGACCTAGAGAAAGAAATCAAAGAGTACCATGCTACAGTCAGCCTACAAGCATGGAGTCGTTATCTGTGTCCATGTTTAAATTTCGCACGTGCACTGTGTGATAACAGGCTCCCCCAACCCCCCCTCCCCCCGTTTTCCTGGTGGGGTTGCCTAAACAAAACCCACCCTCCCTCCGTCATTGTTTGTGAATGCATTTCATAAACAGACTTTTGAAATCTCTGGACAGGAGCCCGGGGTGGGGAGGGGGGGGGGTGTATGTTCCAAAACGAAATGTGCCACACACACACAAAATAATAAGGAAAAAAAACACATTCCGATTGCGCATGCATTTTCTGACAGAGCCATGTCATTTCCTGTTGGTCGAGGCTGAGCATTCATGGCGCCAAACCAGATCTCTAAATATTAGCATATGGTAGCAGGCGTGCATGTTTGGTAGATGGTATAATCTGTGCAGATTGTATTGATTTGTTGTTTTTTATCAAGTGAGGCATAAACTTTACCTGCAGTTACAGCAACAACAAAGTCCTCCACTTTACCTGCAGTTACAGCAACAACAAAGTCCTCCACTTTACCTGCAGTTACAGCAACAACAAAGTCCTCCACTTTACCTGCAGTTACAGCAACAACAAAGTCCTCCACTTTACCTGCAGTTACAACAACAACAAAGTCCTCCACTTTACCTGCAGTTACAGCAACAACAAAGTCCTCCACTTTACCTGCAGTTACAGCAACAACAAAGTCCTCCACTTTACCTGCAGTTACAGCAACAACAAAGTCCTCCACTTTACCTGCAGTTACAACAACAACAAAGTCCTCCACTTTACCTGCAGTTACAGCAACAACAAAGTCCTCCACTTTACCTGCAGTTACAGCAACAACAAAGTCCTCCACTTTACCTGCACAATGTCGTTGTTGTTTCAGGAGGTGTTTACCTGCAGTTACAACAACAACAAAGTCCTCCACTTCCTTTGAAATTTTTATGTTCCTGAATGCTTTTTTTTTTTTTTTAATTTAATTTTTTTTAAATCTCTAAAGTAATTTCGAAAACATGCATATCCATTTGGGTTATCCAGCGGCGTAGGGAGAGGCGATTTGCTGTTGGGAACCAGCTTATAATCCTAGAAGAACAATCCCAGGCCTTGTACAGTGTGATGATCTATCAATTCAATCAGTGATTTTATTCAATGCTAGAAGTTGTCGGCTTTCAACCCCAGTTCTTGTCCGACACACGAGAGCGTATTCTTAAACATCAACGACACATCATTCAAGTGTTGTTGTTATTATTTTTTCTTTTTTTATAATTTTGTAAAGGCCAACACCGTGAACATATCACTAAATAATTGCCATCAAAATTGTATATATAATCCCTACGAATACCTCGAGTTTTGGAGCAACCCCCATCCCCACACCCCAAACACACCCCCCCCCACCCCCAAACCCTCCGGCTTGTTTCATTAATAAAAATTATTTATGATACTTGACGTATAAATTATATAATAAATGGATGGATAATTCAATTTTTGTTTCGACCGTGGCGACTGGCCCTTATCACCTTGCACCTGCTGGGCGACCTCAACAATGTAAATAACATTTCACCCTGTCCCTGCTGGGCGACCTCAACAATACAAATAACATATCACCTCGCCCCTGCTGGACGACCTAAACAATACATATAACATATCATTATGATAATAGAAACACACTGCTTAAGTTATCTATTTTTCACGATCAGCGGCGAAGTTGTTTACTGTTTACAGAAGAGATGTTTGGAACACGATGGTAATTGCTGTGACCGGGTCACCTTGAATGGTCACTCACAAGCCATCCAGCCAGGAATCATGTGGTGGCCACCAGAACTTGACTTGATGGACCTGGTCATCCGTGTGATTACCTTGAACTTTTGCTAGCAGTAGCAGGCAAGGGTCGGGGTTGTAAAAGGGCGGGGGGGGGGGGTGGTGGGGGGGAGATAAAACAAAAAAGTGATCTTAATTTTGGTGGAGATAAAAAAAAAAAGTGATCTTCATTTTCGTTTTTTCCGGAGACAGGAACTGAAGCTCATCACATCTAGCTGAAGATCGTCACATTTAGCTTAAGATCATCACATTTAGCTGAAGATCATCACATTTAGCTGAAAACACCACATATAGCTGAAAAAACCACGTCTAGCTGAAGACCATCACATTTAGCTGAAGATCCTCCCATTTAACAGAAGATTATCACATTTAGCTGAAGATCATCACATTTAGCTGAAGATCATCACATTTAGCTGAAGATCATCACATCTAGCTGTAAGCGCCACGTCTAGCTGAAAACGATCACGTCTAGATGAAGAGCATCACATTTAGCTGAAGATCACCACATCTAGCTCAAGATCCTCAAAACTAGCTGAAGATTATCACATCTATCTGAATTATCCTCACATCTAGTTGAACATGATCGCATTTCAATAAAGATCATTGCATATAAATGAAGTTCATAATTTCCATCTGGGAATAATTACCTCTAGCGGAAAAGTGTTGCATGTACAGTGGGGACAATTTTCAATTAAGATCATTACATCTAGGTTAAGATCATCTGCATCTAATGGAAGATCATTACATCTAACTGGAGATAATTGCATCATGCATCTAGCTGAAGATCACATGCATCTCAAAACTACTGCGTGGGCAACAGACAGGTAAAAAGAAACCATAACTTTTCTGTGCAGGCAATGAGCAGCTTGGTGAGGCAGCCGTCGGCCCAGCGAGATATGCATGGTTCTAAATGAGGAGCTGAGCTTTGATTGCACTATATTCATCAGTGCTCAATGTCAGCAACGTCATGGGGCGCCACAGGGAATGGGGGTGGGGAGGAAAAGGGGGGGGGGGGGTTCTTGTTTGCTGGCAATGAAACAACGTTAACTGGAAAGAGGAATGTAAAGGGAGACAATCGCGATAGTTTATTTTTAGCCGGTCAAGGAAATACTGAGTCTGCTCCCCTGCTAGGAAAAACAAAAATGTTAGAGGCCATCATTGGAAACTGAGACTTATTACTGTTAGCACGCGTTCACCCGATGCTGCAGTGGGGAAATATGGGACGAGCTTCTGGTTTTGAAATAGAAATATAAGAACTACTAATTTACATGAAAATAGACTTAAGGTTGTCTTCCTGGGTGATTGCTGTGTCGTGTCAGTGCATGAGGTTGTCTTCCTGGGTGATTGCTGTGTCGTGTCAGTGCATCAGGTTGTCTTAATGGGTGATTGCTGTGTCAAGATATGAGATTTTCCCCAAATTTTAAGTTTGGCGGACAAGTGGACGAGTTTTGAAAATGAAACCAGGGTCTGGCGAGTGATTTATTTATTGTTTATTTACATTATTTGACTATAACTATTCATGTTGCGTGGACCGGCAATGAAAGGCTGCCGACCGGTGCCGGTCGTGCGGGCCACCAATTCCGAAACGCTGGTCATCATCAACATTTAATTATTACATGTCATATCCTAAACCTAGCACAGCAAAACTGTCGGTAACTGGACACGCATGGCAGCAGTAATCAAACATCACCTTACCGACCTTGTCACCACATGGCACAGCTGAAAACTACTGGTCTTTTGCATTGTTGTGAAGTGACACTGTTAATTTTCTCTATCTTCACCACTTAATGATCTTAAGAACACCTTAGTTTTTCTGGACGTGTTAGAAAGAAAAGAAAGGTGTTTAACACAATGGTCATGACAATCAAAAGTATAACAAAACAACGCAACAATCAAAAGTATAACAAAACAACGCAACAATCAAAAGTATAACAAAACAACGTGGCAATCAAAACTATAAAAAAACAACGTGACAGTGAAAAATATAACCAAACAATGTGACAATCAAACATATAACAAAACAATGTGGCAAACAAACAAAAATATAACAAAACAACGTGACAATCAAAAATATAACAAAACAACGTGACAATCAAAAATATAACAAAACAATATGGAGGCACTTTATCTCAAATCATATTTTAACAATGAAAAAGGACCACCAAAAAAATCTAATTAATTTAACAGCCAAATTTGTATTACGTCATTTTTTAAAAATGTCTTTAACTATGGTTCAGGCCTTAATGGAAATGGCGGCTTTCATTTTTTTTTAAAAACTGGAATGTCATCGCATATAAATGTCACATAAGGCAAATTACAAATAAAAACATTTTAAAGTGATACATCACATACAAGAGTGCAAAAATTCATGTCATCACATATAAATGTCACAAAATCATAAAGGCAACTTAAATTTTTTTTAAAGTCATACATCACATACAAGAGTGCAAGAATTTTACAGGGAAAAATCAATTGATATCACGGCTGGTGTCTTAAGGGCACTTGAGATCAGGAAACCTGAGAAATACAAGAGTTACCTAACCTGGAAAAAAGGGTTTACAAAGGTTCTTGTCCGAGTATCAATGATGAATTATCACACAAGGAATCATTATTTCAAACATTAATGGGTTTACATTGAATATGAAGTGTATGAGAAAGAGTATGTGCTCAGTTTACACTGACTTGTAAAGAGTGAGCTTGTCATGGTCATAATAATTTATTTTTAAAATAATACACAAATAAATAAGATTTACATTTAAAGGATATGCAAGTGGTTTGATAAATTTAGCCTTTTTTTTTTTGGACAGGTAAAATCCATCTGTGAGTGCATGGAATAAATATGGAAAGTATGAATCCATCGTCAATGACTCGGATGGGGGTTCATGGGTGGGGGCATTTTCAAACAAATCAAAATCCATTTCAAAGGAAAGAATAAAAAATAAAGATTCATTCATGTCGGGTATTGACGGGATCAAAATCTTGGGCACCAGACACCCTAGAAATATGACCCCCACTGAGTAGACCTTACTTTTGTCACTTTGTGTAAATGGAAGGGGAAGTAAGTATGAAAGTTTTTTTTTAATGTAGTTTTTCCACTTTTACAGACCAGTGGACGGTTTTTCGGAAAGAACTGTTGAAGAAATACAAAATCAAATATGGCCTTGCAATTGAGATACACAATTTAAGTACATCTTTAAATTTAAGATTTTCCTCACCACATATTTTACTGGGACTGATAATTTGATAACATCAGAAATAAGTTAGGATCAGTTCACTTTATTTTTACAGTAAAATTTTTAAAATAAATAATACATGCTTCTAAAAATTCACAACAGTAAAAAGAATGTGTATTTTTTTTCTTCTTAACACCCGCCCCCACCCCAATGAAAATAATATTTTCATTTTAAGACTCAACTAAATTTTCATAAAGTTTATTTAAAACAAGAGACACGCAGGTTAAAAAAGGGAGAGCACAAAAATATTGAATTAGGTGATGATTTCTTCCCCTTCTCATTCTCTATTCATAAAATTTCAAAAATGAAGATCTACAATATCATCAGATGTGATCACCTGGCTTGACACAGTACCATTCTTTTACTACCTGGCAAAATACAACTTTTAGACTCTGTGATGGGCATTGATTTTCAATGTGTTAATTTTAAGAATCACTCACTTCAATAAAATATAGGTTAAATTATTTTTTTTTTAAAGAAACAAAAACATCTCTTTAAAAATGTTAAACTGTTCCTGCACAGCAGAATCACTTAGAAATAGAAAATAAAATTCCATGTGGTTTAACACACATAAAAATGTCATTGGCAAGAGAGTAAAATGTGTCCACCCAAGGGGAGGGCTACAGCAGTGATATAGTGGGTTCAGTCATGGATTGGCTAAGGTAGTAATATAATCCGAGGATCACCTTAATGATTTCCAAAGATTAGAGGCAAATAGTTCTGTGTAAGATAACACAGTAACCATCCGTTGCTCTATGATCATGTTTGAAATAGCAAAATCAGTACTATAATTTGATTAGCAAGCCATTGTTGGTAATATCTTCTTTTTTTTTTTTGTTGAGTTTTTTTTTTTTTTTTTACACGCACCTGTTAGGGTACAAATTTATTTTACCATGCAGTTTACCCGGTCCCCTTTTGACATTAGCAAGCCATTGTTGGTAATATCTTCTTTTTTTTTTTTGTTGAGTTTTTTTTTTTTTTTACACGCACCTGTTAGGGTACAAATTGATTTTACCATGCAGTTTAGCCGGTCTCCTTTTGACAATACAAGCCTAATGGCAATCTGTGGGTTACTGATTTAAATCCAGGAGAACTCTTTATTCATTACAACTCTTGACACAAAAATCACATACAAAGTGGTTGAAAGACTTGATCCAGTATAAAGATCTCATAAAACATGTATTAAAATAATGCACTTTGTTAACAAACAGAAATGTTTGAATTAGCACAGCAGTTTGTGATGAAAACAAATTGTTGTTGGTTGAGGATGTGTGTACAAAAATAACTGTACACATAATTAGATTATTGCTTTTTATAGCAGTGTATACATAAAATTTTTAAAAACAAAATTTAATACATTGACGTGGTCAATAACACATTTGCGATCATTTCAGTAAAACTTTGTGATCATTTGAGCACAACTTTGTGATCATTCCTTGCAGTTTCAGTGTGTTTTCTACATAACCGATTGCCAAAAATTATTAAACAAAAATTTTTGTATTTATTGCCAGCACTGAGCCACTGTGTTCAAGCAACCCATGATAAAATCCCTTCACTCACAGAGAGACGGTAGGACGCTTTATAAGTTTACTGCTTTCGAAAAATGTAATATAACTCTGTTTAACATTACACAAAAATATTTTAGAATTCTATAGAATTATTCTCTTGTGAGAGGAAGACATTGCTGGGGGGAAAAAGGCTTCATATTCCACAAAGGTATACGCAGATTAATTTTCAGTTTAATAAAAACCAAAAGACCTGTTTTTAATTGTTATTTAGCAGGAATCAAAACTGTGTATTTTGATGAGTCGTGAGTGGACAAAGTGACAATGAGCATTTATATGAGGCAGACATGAAGCCCAGCTTTGGGCTTGTAGACTGGTGGAATTTACTTACCAATCTTAACTATTTTTAGGCTGGACGTTATTGATGTGTAAAAAGATTCCCAACAGTAATCTCTGTGTAAAAGAACCCAACCAGTAATCCCTGTGTAAAAGAACCCAACCAGTAATCCCTGTGTAAAAGAACCCAACCAGTAATCCCTGTGTAAAAGATCCCAACCAGTATACCAATTTAAGTATGCTTTCACAACTTATAAATTATTTTATTATTTGCTTGTTTATTTGATTGATTTTATTATCATTAAAAACCCTTTATTTTTGGTCAATGGTCTGTTCCATTTCTGAGCACTGCGCACTGGATCAAGTGAGAATAACCTGCCTAAACTGTCACCCGCAAAAAAGTGCCATCAACAAGCTACATGTAACATATCATGCATGTACAATCATGCTGAGAGTATTCTTCTTTGGCCGCGCTAACGAAAGGTGTCTTCCAAACCTTGTCCCCTTGAGCAAAAACATCACAGCAGGCCACTGAATCCAAGGGACAAGTTCTTAATCCATGCGTCACAAAAATTTACAGTTAAAACACCGAATTTCAGAGTCACCTTCAGTCTGTGAACAACAACAACTTTGTGACCTATAAATAACAATTTTTAAAAATCACACCAGTACAGGCCTAAGGTTTACGCCTGTATACTTTGAGGCGAGGCGATATTCACCTCCTGCTCCACGTAGATCTGAGTCTGCACCCCCTCATCCACTTCAAGCCTGTTGAAGCGACTCTTTAACAGCACAATCAAAGGTATGGAGACGACGATGGAGCCAATCAGAGCCCAGTTCATCCACATGGTACCTGGGAAGTAGGGAGAGGGGGGGGGGGGAGATATGCAGGCATTTAAGGTAATATTAACAATAGGTTTTGATTAGAGGTAGGGTTATTCAAATGATAGCAGCAAGAGCAGACAGAGGCACAGACAGGACATTGGAGAGGACGATGGAGGTAATCAGAGCCCAGTTCATCCACAGGGTGCCGGGGAAGTAGGGAGAGGGGGGGGGGGAGATATGCAGGCATTTAAGGTAATATTAACAATAGGTTTTGATTAGAGTTAGGGTTATTCAAATGATAGCAGCAAGAGCAGACAGAGGCACAGACAGGACAAGGGATAGCACACCTGGAAGTCACTAAACAGGATAAATAACATAAAGGAGGAAATACCAACAAAGCATTGACCCAATCAGGAGAGAGAATAGTCCAGTGAAGAAATGGAACGCTGAAAGAGCAGATTATCTGAGACTACTGAGAGGGTTTTTTCTGCCTTAACTCTTTCACTGTTTTTCTCTCTTGTTCTTGTGTGTCCTATCTCAAGCCATACAACAAGCCGTACAACAAGCCGTACAGCAACATGACATTTTTACAACTACTTTAATATCATGATTTCATGGGAGGCCTAGACTTTCTATATGTGTGTCCAATCTCAAGCTGTACAACAAGCCGTACAACAATATCAGATGTTTACAACTATTTTAATATCATTATTTTATTGGAGAACTAGATTTTTAAAATTCTTCAATAATTGACCACAAAAATAGATAAAAGTTGTTGCTTTTTTTTTTTTTTTTTTTTTAGAACTTAATTTAACTTTATGTCCACTTAGATTTTTAAAATTCTTCAATAATTGACCACAAAAATAGATAAAAGTTGTTGCTTTTTTTTTTTTTTTTTTTTTTAAGAACTTAATGTAACTTTATGTCCACTGACAACATAAATTGATTTTTCATGCTAAATTGACTAATCAACATAAATTGACTTTTGATTATAAATGGACTTTTGAGCATAAATTGACATTTGAGCATAAATTGACTTTTCAAGCACTCACCAACTCTAGGAATCATGAAGACGGCCAGAAAGAAAACTCCACCCAAATTATTTAACAGTGTCAGCAACCCGTTGGCTGCCCCTTCACTGGTGGGGTAGGCCAGTTCGCAGCCGAGCTCGTATATCAAAGGGACGGCGGCGTTGAGCAAGGAGTTTCCTCCAATAATTGTGGCATACAGAATAGCTGGGGGAGAGGAAGTGACATCTCTGTTATGAAATATTAAAAAGTAAAATGGATAAAATGTGTAATAACAATATGTAATGAAATAATTATCCTGTGGTCTACTTTCATGCTGTCTTCTATGTCACGTGCTTGGGTTAAATGCCTGCGCAACAAACTAAATGTCATCATTTATTTTTTAATTTGTGATATTTCAAATAAAATGTTTGAAAAAAGATGTGGTTTTAAAATTGTACCCCCGTTGATAATTTTCAGGATAACATCGCATAGCCATGAGGAGAAGGCATAGGCACAATCCAGAGATGGAGACATAGACACAGTCTAGAGGGGAAGACATGGACACAATCTAGAGGTGGAGACATGGACACAATCTAGAGGTGGAGACATGGACACAATCTAGAGGTGGAGACATAGTTAGACTATAGATGGATGCACAGTCTAGAGATGAAGGAATAGACACTGTATAGAAATGAAGGAATAGACACAGTATAGAGATCAGACATAGGCAGTCTATGAGCTGGAGACACAGGCAGAAAGACCTTAATGCTTACCGTCTGTTTGATGGATCACTTTAACAAGAACCAAAGCAAAAACCACAAAACAACAGGCTCCAGTGACGAACATGATGAGGATGAATAACTTCATCTGACGTGCAAACCAATCAGCGAATCTGAAACAAGCAACATCACAACATCAACATTTAACATTACACTTCATCCGACGTGCAAACCAATCAGCAAATCTGAAACAAGCAAAATCAAAAGAGATGTCAAGTTTAACAATACACTTCATCTGTTAGGTTATCAACCAAAAAAAATGTAAGAAGTAATTGTTAAAATCTAGAAAGGAGTTCACCGTCAGACAAGATGCAAAATGTGTCAGTTTAAACTGATCTTTGACCTTGTTATGTGGGGTATCACAAAATGAGTTACGGTCTACAACAAAATGGCAACAGAAGGCACCATATACCAAAGGTCATTGACCACTTTCTACATATATGATATCCATGAGTAGACTGAATGAGGATGGTAGGTTATAGGGCTTGGATGAATGAGGAGGGTAGGATATAGGGCTAGGATGAATGAGGATAGAATATAGCGCTAGGATGAATGAAGAGGGTAGGTTATAGCGCTAGGATGAATGAAGAGGGTAGATTATAGGGCTAAGATGAATGAAGAGGGTAGTTTAAAGGGCTAGGATGAATGAAGAGGGTAGGTTGTAGGGCTAGGGCAGATGAGTTGGAGGAACCATTATAGCATACTGCTAGGGGGCATCTAGTGACTAGCAACCATGGTATAAGGGCTTCTCATTGATTTGGACTTAAGGATGTTGGCAGCGGCGCATAGGTCAGAGGGATGTAGGTCATGGGTGTCTTACCTTCCAACTAACAAAGTAAGTAAACAGGCTCCAACAGTTGCGTAGAATCCAATCCAACCAGCCTCATACTGACACAGTGAAAAAACAAAACAATTGTGTTTAGTTAAGCATTTAATCACACTAAAGGGAGATCACCGAATGGCAGGGGGGAAAATTTGAAGATTATTTGTGTTTTTGTACTGTTAAACTGCTACTCACTGACTAATGGTGCTTCCCTAATCTACACTTATATATAATGACCTACTGACAGACTAATGGTGCTCCTCCAGACTACACAAGTAATGACCTAACAATTTAGGTTTGTTGATTCCTGAATCTTATTTCTCTTAAAAGCTAGATAAGCGTAAGGCTCAAGAACCAATCAGGCAGAACTTGGTTCTCATCCTGTTCTCAGGATACGCACATATGAAATACATAATTTTCGGTTCTCTCACTCACCTCAGACACACCGAAGGGATCCAGGTTAACGTTGAGTACACTACTCCAACTGTTGAGGACCCCCAGTGAAACGCCATAGATGACGGCAATGAGTATAAAGTGACCTTTGCTGAGACAGAGGGAGAAAATCGGTCAACTGTATGTATTTTATTTTATTTGGACTTCTTCTAGAACTCTGTGTCATGTTAGTGTTGTTTAAACCTTCCTTGGTGCTAGCTCATCTTTGTTTTAATCTATTGCTACACTTTTTATTCAAGATATAAAAACGCTTCGTTTAACTCTTTCCGTGCAAAGCCACAGCGTATCGTCGATTTGACTGGTCACGTTTGTGCCAAGCCACGGTACATCGTCGAATAGTTAATGTATTTTTATTTTGTTTGTCTGCGGCTATTAATTGGACTTTTTATGTTCTTAAACCAAGGATAACCCTTCCTACTTCCTTCCTGTTAGAAGTAGGGCATGTTTACATGTGTTTTTTTTCTAATAATAGTTCAATTTGTGTTGAAACTTTTGTAAACAAAGCAATGGCCACGCCTACCACTCCCAGGACATCAGCTGTTGCTAGACCACGTAGGTAGTCAAGTTAGCAAACAAACAAAAGAACTTTTATTGCTAATTATTGATGCTGAAACATCAGGCAATAACCATGAATCATTTGAATCTCATTCCAGTGATGGTTTTCAGCTTTCTGGTGTGTCGGTAAATGCCCAATGGAAATAGTAATAGAATGGCCTTAGTGGAGGTAATATTGGTGACTGTCGGCACTTTCAAAAAAATTTCAAAACATTTTTAAAAATATAAAGATACCTTGAATGCATAGAGCCTAGAGAATGGTTTACAAACATTCTAATATCAACTTTCTAGCTCAAGTGGTTCAAAAGTTGTTTTTTTTTTTTTTTTAAAACCACTTTGTTACTATGGCAACAGTGAGAGGATTCAGATAATACTAGATCTACTCTTAATGTTACAAAAATGGGTATAACTATGTCACTAAATAGAATATTTTCAAAATGTAAATTGCATTATGATCAAAGATGGAAATACTTTCTGAGGATTGAAGCAGAATAGGATACCAGCTACACAGGGCATTTGTTAGTCTGGTAAGTTCAGATTTGGTGCACATTTAAAAAAAAAAAAATTTAATCTCACTATATTACCAGAAAAAGTTTGGCACGAATGTGGAAAACCTGCTGCATGAAAAGAGTTAAATCTAAATATACGCTTTGTTTAAATCTAAAGCTACACTTTGTTTAAATCTATAACTACACTTTGTTTAAATCTTTAACTACACTTTGTTTAAATCTAAAGCTACACTTTGTTTAAATCTATAACTACACTTTGTTTAAATCTTTAACTAAACTTTGTTTAAATCTATAACTACACTTTGTTTAAATCTACTACTACACTTTGTTTAAATCTATAGCTACACTTTGTTTAAATCTATAACTACACTTTGTTTAAATCTTTAACTACACTTTGTTTAAATCTATAACTACACTCTGTTCAAATCTATAACTACACTTTATTTAAATCTATAACTACACTTTGTTTAAATCTATAGCTACATTTTCTTTAAAGCTATAGCTACACTTTTATTAAAGATAAAACTATGCTTTGTTTAATCTATCACTACACTTTGTTTAAAGATGGCAAACGATTGGTTTAGTTGGGATACAAAAATCTCAAAAACTGCCTTTTTAGCTACAAAGAAGAATTATGTTGAAACATTACATTCCTAAAACTTTTTTTAACCAAAGTACATAAATATATTTTAACAAAAGTGATCCAAAACTTTAAATAATTTCTCCTTATATTTTTTATATATTATGACAAAACAAATATCTTTATAAAAAGCTAATTGCCTGTCTGGGACATATTTAGAGACTGAATTTTGTTCCTTCGAAACTTTGTTTCACATGTTATGACTCTTAGAGTGAAACGGGGGATGAAATCCAAACATGTATTCCGATCACTTGATTGGCTTTTGCCGGCCAGGTCTGTCGCTGAGCTTACTTTCGTAAAGACCAGAGCGCTGACCAATACGACTCCCGGCTGGTGATGGCCGAGGCGCAGGGGGGGTGCGGAGGCTTTGCTGGGAAGTAGGCCAGCATGATCAGGAACACCAAGGCACAGACTCCGCACTCTGTGTGGACAGGAAAAAAAAATGATATAGAAATGTGTATGTTGCTATAACCTGGCCATAGTGAGATATTTGTAACTGGGCTAACAAGCGTGGGGAAATAAGCAGATTTCAACTATGTACATTGATGGAATACTTTTAAAAAAATATTCAACCTGTTTTCTCAGACCTGGCGAATTCTTTAATTATTGGACAAGATTTTATTTGAGGGAGAAAATATGTATAAAAAGAAATTTAAGTATTGAAATTATAGTGTGAAGTCATCCCAAGATTTTATGCCACACAAACTTTGGAAATTAAAATTTGGCACTTCCAAAATCATAGACTCAGAATCAAAGTTTTGTGGGACAGAATCCAGGCATATATACATGTGAACAGGCTGAATGAGATTAGTTGTGTGAGCAGACAGAATAAGATTTAGTTGTGTGAACAGACAGAATAAGATTAGTTGTGTTATTTCTACTCACGAATGTACATGTAAAGCATGATTTCATCCCTCTCCTGTTGAATCCTGGCAGCTGTGGACCAATTAAGTTTACATAGTAATCAAGGCCATGTCAGTTTTACATAGTCACAGTGTTTAGGAACAAAGTCACAGTGTTTAGTAACAAAGTCACAGTGTTTAGTAACAAAGTCACAGTGTTTAGTAACAAAGTCACAGTGTTTAGGAACAAAGTCACAGTGTTTAGGAACAAAGTCACAGTATTTAGGAACAAAGTCACAGTGTTTAGGAACAAAGTCACAGTGTTTAGGAACAAAGTCACAGTGTTAAAGAACCAAAAAAATATTATTAAGACAACAAAATTTAGTAAAATATTAGAGTACTTTATCTAGACTGTACTCTACCCTCTATTACTGGATGGTCGATGATTGGCAAAAGATACTATCAGCAATTTCAAAATCTCAGGCTGGATATATTATTTTCCACTGGCTTAAATAAATAATTAGTAGGTTTACAAAAAAAATTGTTGCGGAAATTTTTCCATGAGGAAAATTACTTATTTGCAGTAAATTAATTCAATGTTTATTGACAAACAAGTTATCTGAAAGAAAAAAATCTATAAAAATATTCTAAAATTTTTATTAAGAAAATTAAGTAAGTTACTGTTTATTTGCCCTCTCTAGCGCATGAAATTAAAGAATTCTCTTCACAATGTTAAATTATGCTGATACAGGTATTTCAAATCTCTAAAGAAATCTTTACATACCTAAGACATGATTTAAAATATAAAAACATTAGTCATAATAATTATGAGACTTCTGAATCTGCTTTTTTTAATCAATATGCCATGATGAATTTCCAAATCACATTTATTTAATTTAAAATTTTAAAGTTACAAAAATATGTATCAGTAGGATTATTGCATTGTTACACATCAGATATAGATAACAGTAATGGCTAGTAATGAAATTTAAAAGAAAAAAAAACACCAATTTTTCAAATTAATTAGAACAAATTATTTTAATTGGTTTTAAAATGGACAACATCAATTTAACACAGGGGTTAGACACTTAAATGAAAATACTGTATCAGTTTCATTACAGGGTACATTATCAGTTTATTACAGGGTACAATAGCTATCTGACTGAGACCCTTCATTACCATTCAGTGTCAAACTGTGCCAGTTTATTATGAGGTACATCAGACTGAGGCCCTAAATTACCATTCTGTGTCTGGTATTATGGTCTTATGACTTGATTTCTAAGGCAAAGGAAATAACACATAACATACTGTTGTATATCTGATTGTTAAACCTTGTGTCCTTAAAATTATTAAATTATTTACTTTTTTGTCTTCAAGTTACCTGTAACATTAGCCGGTTCTGAACTATACATATCAGCAATTAGCAAGCTTCTGAAATGTAAAATGGCAGTTGGGTCGACAAAAATCTAAATTTTCATTATCAAACTTATACACATATGGACACAAATGGAAGGCCTTGTAAAAGTAAAGGAGAAAATCAAGTTCAAATTTAATGACTTACCCATTTCAAAAAAAAACTTTAATTAATTTTAAATTTAATTACTTATCCACTTCAAAAAAAAAACATTTTAAATTATGTTTTATTTAGATAAATGGAACAATGAGTAGAGCTCAATAGTATTTATTATTTTTTTCAGTTTTATATTTTTTCCCCCCACATATAAATTTCTTATTTCCTGACTTTGATCTTCAGTTATTCTCCTTTATTTTTATTTTTTTTAAACTGGATGCAACAGAATTTTAATAATAATGATTTAAATTGTCAACTTTGTAATTGTTTTCCCTGAACCCATAATTTGTTTATACATTTTTTGTTTTGCACTGAACAATATTTTAAGTGAACACCGAACATGTGAGAGATGGGTTTCATTCATAGCAATACTTTATTGATTACAGAAATCTTACACATGCAACATGGAGGACACAATGTGTGAGTTGTTAGTGCCAGTGAGCTGTGTCAGTGAGTTACAATGAATGAGTTCATGCAGGCTTAGTATTATCATGTTAAATTTGTGCTTTTAAAAATGGTTTCTTTCAGTTTTGATTATTTTTTTAAATTTAAATTTTCATTAAAAACAGAATCAAACTGACAAAATAAAATTTTGAAAATTTGTAGGCTAATACCCTTGTTCTGAACTATACATAAGATTTTTTTTCACTTCTAAATATATTAGTTCAAAGTTAAATGAACTTTTATTTTCTTTCAAGAAGAAGTTTTTCCCAATAAAATTTCTTTAAAATTTGAGGGGGAAAAAGTGGATAGTTTGGGAACTACTGAGCTATACAACATAAACACACACAAACAAATGTATAAATTGTTAAACTCTCTAAATAGATGGTAGTTTACACTTATACTCTCTTTATTTATTATATTTTATGGGGACCTACAGTTAACTAAATGAATAAAGCCTTCTTACTCTAAGCATAAAATCTCTTTTCAATGGTGCATGACATTTTTAATAAATGCTTAGTTTTTGTTTATACGTTCTCTAACTTAACAAATAAACCCTTGGGTCACCATTGAAAAAAGTTCTCTAATTTAACATAAAAACTCTTGGGTTACCATTGAGAAAGTTCTGTAAGTACTTACCCAGTGTGGGAGGGGTTATGTGGTACAACCACTGAGGTTGTATTTTTGAAAGGTTGTGTGGTCACAATATATGGGCCTGGATAGACAAATACGTTTTTAAAAAAATTTTAAATTAAAATTACATTTCATATAAAACAATAACTATCACCTGTACTTTAACATAAATAATGTTGTGGAACTATTAGTGTCAAAATGTATGGGCCTGTATAGACAAATACGTTAAAAAAAAATTTGATATGAAACAATAACTAACACCTGTATTTTAACATAAATAATGTTGTGTAACTATTAGTGTTATTTTTTTCAAACACTGAATGAATAACGTACAATTTTATTACATTTTTTTCTTATTTTGACCTACATGACAAATTAAATTATTACGACCTATGTGTTAAAATCTCATTTTCCTGGCTGCAATTAAAGAGATAGCTACTTTTTTTTAACATATAGCCTTACATCTTTACCTGCGATTAAGGGAACATTAACTTTTAACTAATAAGTGCACCAACCTACTATGAAGGAGATGGCTACTCCAAAGGTGTTGATACACGCACTGATGGAAGTGGCGGTGACCCTCTCCTTGGAAGGAAACCACGTAGCCGATATCGCAGGGATGCTACCCATAGACACGGGCCCACCAATACCGCACAGAATCTGCCCAATGTGTATAAGTCTGAAAAATATTTCAAGGCATCAAAAGTTTATTAAATCAACATTTTGAGGAGGAAATGTGCAGACCAAAATGTTAATACTTAATCCCATGATATGTTGTTTATAATATGAATCAATTAATAAATCCCATGATGTGCTGTTTAAAATACGAACCAAAGTATAAATTCCATTATACATTGTTTATTTAACAAACCAATGAATAAATTCCATGACACATTATTTAACAAACCAATGAATAAATCACATGATATGTTGTTTATTTAACAAACCCATGAATAAATCCCATGACATTTTGTTTATTTAACAAAGCCATGAATAAATCACATGATATGGTGTTTATTTAACAAACCCATGAATAAATCCCATATGTTTTTATTTAACAAACCAATTAATAGATCTCATGATATGGTGTTTATTTAACAAACCCATGAATAAATCCTATGATTTGTCTTTTATTTAACAAACCCATGAATAAATCCCATGATATCATGTTTATTAATTATACAAGCCAATAAAAGAAACCATGAATTAAATAACTTTAATAATTATGTGATCGTTTAAAAACTAATAATATATATATTCAAATGGACATGCATTTAAGTTTCAGATAGCAACCCAATGATTATAGTAGCCATCACCTCGGTCAATAAGGAGATCTATTTTCTTAAACAAATAAGCATTTCAGATTTCAGCTGATCAAAACTCATAAATCTCTAAGAAATGAATGAACTCCTTCTTTAATGTAAGGAGAAAATTCCTAGTAATATTAATCCAAACTTTCATGGGAACAGATACACTCCTCCTACATGATCAAACAGTTGCAACTTTTCACGGGAGGGACTTACGTTGCACAAAACTCAATGCATTAAAAAGGGAAACAACTGCTGTTCCAAAGGTTGTCTCCCTTTCAGCTCTAAGCATACGAGAGGACTATTAGATTCGGTGACTATGTTAATGCCCACTCTAGCTCTCCAAAGTTTGTTTGTTTTTGTTTTGTTTTTTGTTGTTGTTGCTGTTGTTGTTTTTAATGGCATACTACATAGAATGTGTCAGACACTTTCTTTCTTCACCCGCTTATCAGAAAGTACATATTATCAAACGGTGTTTTGACGTCACTGTAATCACACTTGTAGGTATGCACCGTTCATCCATCGCTATTGTTTGGTTTCTTCCAAATTAGTTTCAATGTCAACGGCTAAACAACTGCGACGGTTGAAGGGGGATTTTTGAGGCCTCATAGCATTCTTTCTTTGTTCTGGTCATAATATTACACATTTTTTTGGATTGTATGTTATCTTGAAATAAATGAGTAGTACACAACGAAACGTATGAATGTCCGGATGAAAATTGTTATCATATCAACGGTTAGCACGAAAGATGACCACCCTCAGATTAAGTTATTGGGAAATCCACGTTAAATATAATCAATTCATCCTAGCATAATATGCTTTAACCAGAATGTTAAAATGCCTCTTTAGTTATATCTTTTATATATATTTAGCTTCTGGTGTGTCCTGCATCCACTTCAAAACCGTCATGCGCCAGGATGAACTCTGGTGAATAGTTTATTTTTAGGGCGTAGGCGACTGTTGTATTAATCAATAAAGAGCTACTGGTACGGTGTAGGACTGTCGGTAGGACTGTTTGTGGGACTATTTTTGTTAAAGGCCGGCAGGTGGTGTGTAGGACTGTGGGTAGGTCTATTGTTTAAAGACCGGCAGGTGGGCAGTAAGACTGTCTGTGGACCTATTGATTATTAGAGAAAATACGAAGTTAACTCTTTTTTTTTTCTTTTGTTAACACTTGGACCCACCAAGTATTTTCTCAAAGTACCCGAAGCCGGTGTCAAAATACAAAAGTCCTTGTGTATACTAATATTAGAGATGTTGTTTTTTTCATTTTTAATTATGTTTTATTTATTTTTATTCTTTGGAAAGTGTTAATCATTGTTCATTTTTTTTTTTTTTTTAAAAAGGTGTTGTACCGTATTTCAGTTGTTATAAAACAGATAGCTCGTGACGTTCGTAAGGTCTTTTTTTTTTTCTTTTTTATTTATGTTTTATTTTTTTTTATTCTTTGGAAAGTTTTAATCATTGTTCATTTTTTTTTTTTTTTTTTAAAAAGGTGTTGTACCGTATTGCAGTAGTTATAAAACAGATAGCTCGTGACGTTCGTAAGGTCACGTGCTGCAAATACCACGCCACTACGTTATAGCCTGACGGTTAGTTGAGATAAGTCCAACCAACTTACAGTAAGTAGGTCATTGGCTGTTCATGAATGAATGGCTCAGGCGGGAGTTCCACTGCAGTGTGGTGAGCACCCAGGCGATAGGTTGAACTTAGGGGGTGGGAACCAAAAGATGCATCTGATTGGACGTAATTTAAAAATGGCGATCATTTTTTTTTTGGGGGGGGGGGGTGCCGGGTGGTTGTAATGCAAGCTTATGGGTATCGCTAGACACGGGCATTTTGGCGGATTACATTGTAACCTATTTCACTCCGGTGGACTTACAATGGAAGAGGAGAACATAGATGTCGACACTAGGCACAGGTCAGCTCTTGGCATAAGCAGTGGCGTTGCTAGGGTTAGTTCCGCCCGGCGCGGGCGAAGATTCGTTCCGCCTCCCCTCCATGAAAAAACTCTGCAGTTAACCGAAAGTGCCGCACCTCCATAAAAAGGTCAATTCTAAAATGACGCCCCGGGGGCTGGGGGCGGATTGCCCCCCACTTTTTCTATTTTCCTCTTGATATATGTCAGTATCAGGCACATGGCAACACAGTGCCCATATCAGCACTAGGCACAGAAGGTCCTTCTTCCTGGTGTGTTTGTGTGTGTGGTGGGAGGATGGGGGTCACTCTGGCTATTAGGTTCGGGCCTCACAATTATTAAGTTCAAAAAAAAATATATATTCATAGGTTAATGCGTGATGTGTGGCTTAAAGAGATGGAAGAATCTCAAACTGTGTATCTTTTGATTTTGAAGCACTTACGTGACTTAAGCTGAATTTTAACTTTAATCAAAAGTACTGTTTAATTAAAGTCATATAAGTAAATATTAAGTCATAGAAATAATTAGTAAGTCCCATATAAGTAAACATTAAGTCATATCAGTAAATAGTAAGTCGTAGAAGTAAATAGTAAGCAATATCAGTAAAAAGTAAGTCGTAGAAGTAAACATTAAGTCATATCGGTAAATAATAAGTCATAGAAGAAGTAAGTACCATGTCCTCAGCAACCACGGCCGTGACTAGAAAAAGCGACGTCAGGGGCGAAGCCGCCTGAAAATGCCACCCCTCAATAAATAGAAAAATATGCCACCCGTGGCCGACCTTTAAAGAGACCACAATGGCACCCCTTGTCTTTATGAAGTACATGGGGTTTTATCGTTTAATTCACTATAAAAGTCCGATTTTGGCGCCCCCCCCCCCNCCCCCCCCCAATAGTGTAGGCACCGGGTACGAAAGTTTTCTCCCCCACCCCCCACCATCTTCGCACGACCCTGTCGACAAAATTCATTTTACACTTTGCAAAGTGAGTGCTGGTTAGGAAAAGGGGGGGGGGATTCCTAACAGGACGACGTGGCGACATCCCACCACTTAGGGTATGACAAGTGGCACTCAAAAGTGGTCGATTGGTCCGGACGGAAGTCGCCCTCACAAGGAAGGACCTCCAACGCAACCAAGGTCCACTCTCCAGAGATGAACTATCCCCACAGCAGCGCCTTGTCACTCAGTATGTTGTACTTCATTTTACTTTCTTAAGATTTTCCAAATAATTTCCCAGGATATGCCCTCGTCGCGCACTAAGGGAAAATGATTTTATTTTAGTCATTAAGATCCGGGAATGTTCTCTTTAAAAAAATGTTGCACTTCTCTGGGCCTTATGGTGGTATCAAACAAACGAATGTTCAAATAGGAACTTATTCACGGTGCCCCATTATACATACGTGTAAACAACGTTTAGTGTATAACAAAAATAATGAGTACAGCAGGGATTTGTCGCAGGCTGTTTTTGGCCGCGCCGCTCTCCGGATCAATTTTTGTCAGCTCCAGCTCCGCTCCTAGCGCCGGCGACATTTTTGTTTAAAAAGGGGGAGGGGAGGTTGAGGGGCTAGACCAAGATTATTTTTTTTATTATTTTTGTTTTAAAGTAATGTGTTTTTCATTGTCACGTACCCCTCTAATTAACTGGGTATTAGAAATGCATGTGTCAGCAACATAACAGCTAGACGAGTGGGGCGACATACATGCTAGAAGAATGGGGTGACATAGATGCTAGGAGAGTGGGGCGACATAGATGCTAGAAAAGTGGGGACGAAATAGATGCTAGAAGAGTGGGGCGACATAGATGTTAGAATAGTGGGGCGACATTGAAGCTAGAAGCGTGGGGCGACATAGATGCTAGAAGAGTGGGGTGAAATAGATGCTAGAATAGTGGGGCAACATAGCTGGTAGAAGAAAGGGGCAACATAGCTGGTAGAAGAATATTCATCAACTTCAATAGATTAGTTTTTAAAATTAAAAAATACAAATAATTTTTTTATTTATTTTTAAAACACTGAAAATTCCTTTTAAAAAAAAACGTTGGACGTCGGCGCAGTAAGAGTTGTTACCCCCTTACAAATAAGAGTTGAGCAATGACCCACGTGATGCTCTTAGCAGAGCTTGATTGGACCAACGTTCCAAAGGTTGACAAATGATAGTGTTCCATGTGAACAGTTATGAGCTGTTCCCCATAACTGTACGTCTGTGTCTTGCTATCCACACCACCCCCCTCTTATCTCTCTTCCTTTTTCTCCCCCTCTCTCCCCTCTAAATCCAAAACCCCACAAAAAAACACATTATTAACAGTTTCCGAGGGAAGACCATCCCCACCTCCCCCCCAATTTCCTAATGAATCACCGGTGTCGACCTAACTTTGTACACCCAGATACAATGGGCACACGCGTCTTTCCTCTGACGCACCCTAGAGTTTCTTGGTTTTAAACTTCCTACATTGATTGATAAGACCAATCTCGGTTATCAACATTTTAAAAGGGGGAAAAAAAAAACACAAAAAATAATCCGTACATCCGAATGATCGTTTAATGGGTGGATTTGATCTGGATTTGACCCTTACCTTGACTGACGATCGGAGCGGCTCCATCCTTTCCTGTACGTACATACGCTCAGTTTTGAGATGTCTGGGTTAAAAATCCATTTTTCTGCCACATATCACCCTATTTAGGTCTAATTTTTACAGATTAACGCCATGCCATACTCCTCTATATCTAACACTGTGGTTCTAAAGACGTCATATGGGTGGGTGGGGGTGGGTAAAATGCTAGGCATGTTTGGGTGACACACTGTGATTGCCCTAGAATTACTTTCATTAATCAAATTTGTAATTACTATAAAAAAATTTCAAAGACGAAAAGCTCTTTTGATTGTCGAAAAGCTCTTTTGTTTGTCGTAAGAAAGCATAAGCAAATGCATAAAAAGCATATTACAGAAAGAAAATAAAAGTTGGTGATGTTTCAAACAAGCCTACAGAAGAACACTTGGCTATTAATGCTAACACTAATAATGGGGTATGGGGGTCAATCCAAATATTGGCGTTAAATGTGGGCCAAAATTTTTCAAAACCGTGTGACGTCATTTATTGATGGGCCATATCACCATAGTCGTCTTAGACAAAACTTGAAGGAAAAGTAAAAAATGTCTTCTTTTCTTTTTTCCATTCTTATTTAAGGCAACTAAAGTCAGCCAATCTGATTCATGTCACAGCTCACCACCCAACACAACAGTTGTTGCTCCTTCAACATCAGCAACCTTCCCAGTCAAGTCTCTGGAACTGAAGTTAGTGGGGGAGGGGGGTGTGTGTGTGTTACATCGCGCCTTTAAGAGCATCAACAATTTTCAGACCAGTAGCTATCATGTTGTCCTACCAAGGCCCAAATCAAAGGACAAGGGCTCCAGAATGGCCATTTATGTTTTCTCTTTTTTAACACAAACAAACCAAAACACACCAATCTCATCCAGGCCCCCAAACCCCAATCTCATCCAGGCCCCAAAACCCCAATCTCATCCAGGCCCCCAAACCCCAATCTCATCCAGGCCCCTAAACCCTAAACACCAATCTAATCTGGGCCCCCAACCCCCAATCTCATCTGGACCCTAACCCCTGACCACCAATCTCAAACCCCCCAGCCCCTAACAACCAATTTCATCTGACCCCCCCCCCAAACCACCCCCCTCCCCTTTTTCCACAAACCACAATGATATTTTTTCACTGCCTATAGCTTGCACAAAAATGGATAGAAATATTAGAAAGTTGAAATGTCACACTTACATTGTGGCAGTCCCTGGTTCTGAAGTGATGACCCTAAAACCTGCGCCAATTGTCACCAGCAGCATACTGGACACAACTGCCCACCGAAGACCTGTTAAAACAAGGGATATAGGAAAATATGAAGCACAAGTTGTGTGTAAGTTTACGTGCCATGCAAATGGACAAGGTCAAGGTCAAAATTTTCAGAATGTCCCAGAGCTCCATACTTCATTGTCTGAAGCCAAGTCTAAACCTGGGCAACAGTTTGGGGAATCGTATTCTACTTTATGTACTTAATTTGTGACTTAAAAATTGTTCACAGAATGTTACAATTTTTTTGTTTATTTACTTTTTTTCAGTTAACATTCCTTAAAGCCACTCACCTTTGACATCTTGGAGCCATGGGTAGAATAGACCAAACACAACATAGGCAATGGGTCCCCAGTTGCTGAGCATGGCAATGGTCTCATTGCTCCAGCCAAATGCCTCCTCGCACGAGGTGGAGATGGGACCCCATGTGTTCCACACTATGCTCTGCAGGCAAGTGTAGGTGCTGTACATGATCAAGATGTACCATCTTCGTTTGTACACCTGGATGGCATATGGGGGAATACACAGTCAAATGAAGAGGGTTTAAACTGTGATCAAGGTTTGAACAAGTTTGAAAGACAAGAACACTAAATTAGAGCGGTCAGGTGAAGCTTTTTATTGAACACAAAATTGTTTGTTGTATTTAGAACTGAGTGAACGAACACACCACGTAAACAAATGAAAGAAAATGTGATTTCATTTTTAAGTGCACCTTTACAAAAAATATCTTCGCATTTAACCAAGTTTCAATTTTAATATTTACACGTGGAAGCAACACAGCAGGGGAGGCTCCAGAAGAATTTTGAGAGAGATATTTGTAAAATGCTGTAAAAGAAGGGCGCGAAATATCACAGCACTGACGTCAAAAACAATGACTGATGTCACTTGAGCTGTGATGTCAAATGTTTTGTTCTACCAATACATAATAAGATTTAAGAGAGTGCAGAGTTAAAGTACTTCATTGACAATTTAAATAAATTATTTCCTTTCTTACCCGAATGCTGTTTTTGTCCTCCTTCTGTTCCCCTGCATCTTCGTCTGAAAAAAAATTAGTTCAAAGTAAAGCTGGGCACTAAATACAGCACCTAAAAACAAAGTTTGTCATATAAATCGGTGATTCTCAACATTCCTAATGCAGCGACCCTTTAATACAGTTCCTCATGATGTGGCGACCCCCAACCACAAAATTATTTTCGTTGTAATTTATAAGTGTAGAGTATATGTGTTTTCCGATGGTCATAGGAGACCCTTGGGTAAGGGTCCTTCGACCCCCAAAGGGGTCCAGACCCACAGGTTGATATAAATCCTTTAAATACATTTTGTATTATTTTATTTTACATTACTATTCTAATGTCCCACTTGCTTTTACGTCGCATCATTATTTTTCAAACCATGGACAGCCAATATTCAAATTAAGACATTTTGGATGAATATTAAATATTTGTTTGCTTAGGGAAAATGAAAACCATATTCCCCTCTTTTATCAACTTCTGAAAGATGTTGAGGGGCCCCGGCTCAGATGCCAATCAAAGAAATGGCTTAGGCGACAACGCTTGTCATTTATAAAAAAAATTATTATGATTTTGTTCATTGTAAACTAAGATAACATTCTTTTATTAATCCAAATAAATGGAACTTTGTCTTGTTGATTACATTGGTTACACTGATTACATTGATTATATAATTATTTTAAGCATATGGATATACATTCTAATCAAGATAGCAAGTTTAAAACTAGAACAATTATAACATAAGACATTTAAAGTATTTCTCAAGCGCAAAAACATCAGACAACATATATCGTAATAGCTAATTTCCTTAATGGCAATAATGACTTTAAAGAGACACGATTTGATTTTTATAACAGCCGGGGTAGAAAGCTGGTAAATTCAGACAGATTGTATTCATAAAATAAAATGACTATGTTTACATACATAGTAAAATTTTATAACATAAAATGACTAGTCTTTTTTACACTGTATTATATATATAGAAGAGAAGCAGGTGTACTTGCCACTCGTAGAAACCAAATGTTTCAGTACAGGGGTTGGTGTCCGACGGCTGATGTAGTCTGGTGTGTTATGGCCAGTGTAGTTTGGTGTGATATGACTGGTGTAGTTTGGTGTACCAGAGACGATCGAGTCATAAAACTGACCCCTGCTGACCTTTTCATTGACTGCATCGTTGTCCACAGCAGGCAACAGTGGCTCCTTGGCACGGATGTCATCAGGATCTTCATTTATCATCGTAGACTATTGGAACAGCTGCATAGGGGGGGGGGGGAATGAGAAGGGAGATTCCTTATTAAAAACACATTCAAAATAAATGCCATCAGTGGCTCCTTGGCACGGATGTCATCAGGATCTTCATTTATCATCGTAGACTATTGGAACAGCTGCATAGGGGGGGGGGGAATGAGAAGGGAGATTCCTTATTGAAAACACATTCACAATAGATGCCACGTTAAGTAGTTTTCACACAAAATTATATGTAACTAATTAAAGAAGAAGACAAAATGAAATATATTGGACATGAAAGAATTTTTAAAAAATAGAAGATAAAAAAAACCCTAGAAGCAATAAAAGTTTGTATAAATCCTATGTATGCATTTTTTATTAGTTTATTTCATCTGAATCTTCTAATGCCCCATCCGCTTTTACACCGCACATCTATTTCAGCAACTATTTCAGAAAACAAAAGAAAATATTATGCACCAAATGCGCTAGCGATATTTTTTCAATGATCTCATTTGGCGCAGTTATCTAGAATTTTATTTCGCGAAATCGGTGGCGTCATATTTCCTTCATCTTCCCTTTGAAAACAGAAAAAAATGATTTTTGGATGTTGGGCATGGGGCTGAAAATGTGAGTGAATGTGTTGTCATAGGCAACGCGTCTCTGTGGCACGTTTCAGCTTGATAAGTTGACAGGAAAGTGGGTCGATTCGCCATCTGGAGATTTTGCCTTAAGCACAGAAACTCACTAACAAAAGCGAAGTTAATATAAAGGATTTTTTTAAAAAAAACAGCTTTTACTTTCTTTGGTTATTGCATGAAAGCCATTCAAGTACACCGACAGTAACAAGGAATAAGATGCAGGCATACAGTTCATAGGGTCAAAGTGGATTTATTACTGACATGTATATCTGGTCATGGTGAAACTTAGTCATGTAGTCTACCTCTGGTCTTAAGTGTGAACAACAAATAGTTAAATATTGTGTGGTTTTGTATTTATTAGGACACAACTTACATAAAATAGATGAAATCACAGCATTACAAGTGAAAGAATTGCTAAAGTACATCTACATAACACTTAAGGAGTACAAGAAAATAAAACTGAAGAAGTACAAGTTGCAACCCCACAAGTGACTTATTGTTGCAAGATTATAGTTAGGGTTGTTTTAGGGTTATGGTTGTTGCAGGGTTGGGGTTTTTGCTGGGTTATGATTAGGGTTATTGCAGGGTTAGGGTTGCTGCAGGGTTACGATTGTTTTGCAGGATTAGGGCTGTTGCGGGTTAGGATTGTTGCATGGTTGGGGTTGTTGCAGGAATATGGTTTTTGCAGGGTTAGGATTAGGGTTGTTGCAGGCTTTGGGTTGTTGCAGGATTAGGGTTGTTGCAGGCTTTGCGTTGTTGCAGACTTAAGGTTGTTGCAGGATTAGGGTTGTTGCATGCTTTGGGTTGTTGCAGAGTTAGAGTTGTTGCAGGCTTTGGGTTTTTGCACAGTTAGGGTTGTTGCAGAGTTAGGGTTGTTGCAGGCTTTGGGTTGTTGCAAGTTAGGGTTGTTGCAGGATTAGGGTTGTTGAAGGGTTTGGATTAGGGTAGATGGAGGGTTTGGGTTGTTGCAGAGTTAGGGTTGTTGCAAGATTAGGTTGTTGAAGGGTTTGGAATAGGGTAGATGGAGGGTTTGGGTTGTTGCATGATTAGGGTTGTTGCAGGCTTACAATTAAGTTTGTTGCAGGATTAAGGTTATGATTATTAGAGGGTCTACCTATTTCACTCAATCAATCCTGAATATAATCAATTATTATCTGCAGAACGTACCTCTGAACACGCACTATTCATGTCCCATCTGGTACTCAACATTCAGCCAAACAACCCACTCCAAGCTGACACTTAGCATTCAGCCAAACAACCCACTCCAAGCTGACACTTAACATTCAGCCAAACAACCCACTCCAAGCTGACACTTAGCATTCAGCCAAACAACCTACTCCAAGAAATAATACCAAGTTTAATTATTCTCACAATACAAATGTTGAATGAAAAACTTCCATAGTGTCACAAGTAATCTGTTGTCAAGAATCATAGTGTCACAAGGATCATAGTGACACACCTGAACGAACATGTAGTGAATCACTTCATAGCACAATAAAGCACCCAGTCTCACCTGAAAATGTTCACATCACCCCAATCGATGGACTCGCTCCCCTTCTGGCTCTTTGCATGAACTGTATTTTCTACAAGATCTTTCCCATTGCCAGTCAACAACCATTTGTGCATTATGTGCAGCTCATCAACTGTCTTTAGTAGAGATAACTCATTCCTCTCTTCATCAGATCAGTAACAGTAATTAAGAGTGCAAACCTCCCACCCCCTTCCATCAAAACGCTAAACACATCCTTCGAATCTCCAATAATATTTTTGCCCTTTGATGTTTCCTTATATTATAAAGACCAACCATTACCTGCTTACCTAATTAATGTGGTTTTCTTCTGTTTTTTTTTTTGTTTTTTTGGGGGGGGAGAGAGGTTCCTGGTTTTTTTTTTAATGTTTTTATTTGTCTTTTTAACATCTAGCCTGTACATGTATTGAAATGATCCAAATACAGTGAAGAAAGCTCACTTTGACAAATGCTTTCATTGACCTACATTTTGCCTGGTCCAGGCCATTCAATGCTGACATAATCACACCCCTTAATCTATGTTTCAGCTGGATTAGAATATTGAACTTAACAGATCTGTCCCTGTCCTTTTGCTTGTCACAGGAGTGGACACATTCCTGCCTAATCATAGGCGTTGTCATAAACCACAACTATCCTTAAACTTTTGGCCATGGACCCATTTAAATGGTGTATTTCATAAGACTTTCAAAGAAAATTCAAGCACTTAATACAAGTCCTATAATTTTACATTGTCTGATTACAATATCCTGTAAGAGGTATGTGTGTGTAGGGATGGGGATGTTTATTAGGAAATGGAGAAACATCCGGTGCTCTGGATGTAATGTGCAGGCAAAAATCAAATCTTCCATGTCCAGTCATGTTTAAACAATCTCTTGTCAACATAAATAGAGAGAAAGATCTTTTAAAGAAAACACACAGCATGGATGCTGGACAAACTAATAGAACCCCTGTGCATAGCAAGCACAGCTGACAGAGCTGTTTATCACGCATGTGTTGACCCACTTTTAGAAAACTAAAACAGTGTTTGGAGATTGTCAGAATAGATTTTACAAGATTTCATTTAGTGACTGTCAAATAATAGAAGACTTTTTGTTGTCTCCAGTGCTATTTTTACCCTAATTTGTTCTTTTTGAGAAGACTATATACCATGGGTGGGCAAACTTGTGTAGCTGCAAGCCAGATTCAAGAGGTAACAGAGGCATGTGAGCCACATTCAAGAGGTAACAGAGGCATGGTAGCCATAAATGGTGCAAAGGGGGGCTAACCCGAATCATAGGGAATCTACCATTTCAACAGAAAAGTAAAACAACCCCGGTATAGTAGTGACATCTGCCAGCGAAAATTCAATTTACACATTCACTTTTTTATTTTCCATTTTTATGATTATGTTAATTATTTAATTTTTTTAAAGGAGCGCATGCCATTCAAAACGGAGATGCGAGCAACAATTGGCTCACAAACCATAGTTTGCTCACCCCTGGTCTATCCAGTGCTATTATTACCCTAATTTATTCATTTTTTTTAAAAAGAAATAATCCTTTTTTTTTTAAAGGCATATTGAACCAACTTCCTCTTTCCTAGACATGTTACAAGCTACTTGCTCTTCTCTAGCATTTTCATCCAGCAAAAGTTTAGTGGATTCTTAGTTTACCAATGCGGCCCAGAAGTGGCATAGCAGGATAAGTGCCACCCAGTGCAGGCCAAGCTTTTTTGCCAACCCTTTCTGCTAAAAAAAACACAACCTCTGCAGTTGGCCATAAATGCAGCCCCTCAATATAAGGAAAAGTGTAAAACCACCCCCCTCGGCACCCTCCTATCTACACATACGCTCCAAAAGATGTGTATGGTAAAATTTCACTCCTTTATATATATATATATTTATTTATTTTAAAAACGCGTTGCTTACAAAAATTTGATTTATTTTTAATGCTAATTGTTATGTTGTGCACCTTAACTTGGAGATTTTTAAAGAGAAAACTAATAGACAAGTCCATATAATTTTGTCTAAAGAAAATTACCAAAAGATTCTAGGATAATGTCATCCAAAATTATTTGTGTACACCACTTTGAGGCTTGGCTAAATGTTTTACACCATCATCTTTGAAAACTTAATAAGATTATTATACACAAAGAATCAAAGAAAGGACAAAAAATGGAAGTGCAAATAGATGAAATTACACAAGCACAAATAGATGAAATAATGCAAGTAAAAGAAAAATAAAGTTTAGAAGTACAAGTAGATGAAATAGCACAAGTACAGATAGAAAAAAATTAAAGAGGCACAAGTAGATGATAAATTACATTTTAAATTGTTATTCAGAACCAGAAGAATATAAACAGAGCGAAAAAAATACAATTGACATCATGATGAAAAATAGCCAGCAGTATTATTTCACTACAAATCATTACCGGTGGTCCAGTCTAAGGTAAATAACAGTCAAATCCTACAATGAAAAATCACTTGTCTACATTTTGACCACTACAAGCCAAGATGAAGCGACCCAAAATTAAATTTTAGAATTTTCCCCACACACGCAGTGTGAAAAACACAAAGTAAGATAATGAAGTAAGATCATACCCGTTAATGATAAGCTTTAAATGCCTCGGTTTTGGTTTCCTGTTTTACTTAAGTGGGTTTTACCGTAATTCCACCAAAATTTTTATAATGATGTCTTTTTGTGTTTTTTTATTGCACCGACTGTATTTTGATATGGAGATAAATTTGTTGGCATTTTCATTGTGTGAGAGGGAGGCTAAAGTGAAATCACTATCTTGCATAAATTCAAACTAAATAGAATATAAGAAATATTTTATAATTTATACTTATTGGAAATGCCTAACCAAAAACAACCACTACAAAGAGTCTTGCAATAAAAATATAGCACTATCCCCATCATAAACGCATGTAAGCAACAGTTAAGTAGACTACTTCATACTTACGGGTGAAAAAAGTTCCTATAGCCTTATGAAGATGGCATCAAGGCAAAAAGTGATAAAGAGTCTTCTTGTTGTTAAATGATTTTTATCAAATTCACATAAATTAGGATGGTCTATAGTTATTATTGATTTTGCTAGAGTTCTTTCAAGTGAAATTAAGCACTCTATGTAATGGTCATCTGACATTGCTGGAAAAGAAAGAGATATTTAATTTGTAATAATTAAACTGACCTTAAAAACAATTGTTTAATATAAATCCTATACATGCATTTTTTTTTTGCATTTATGTAATAATTGTAAGTGATTTTATCATTTATGTGATTGTAGCAACAAATTTTTGGTATGGTAATGGTTTTTATCAAACTTAGTGCATGTCAAACCAATAGACTAAAGATACATTTAAATCCAAAAATGTCACAAATACAAAGCACATAGCAACATCTACACAATTAATCTCTATACCAAAACATGCACCCATTGAACAAATCATATTTCATTCATATTCCCCTTGAAAAACAAGAAAAACTGATTTTTGAGGGTGGGGCTGAAAATTTGATTTCATGTTTCATCATTGGCAACGAGTCTATGTGCCTAGTTTCAGCTCAATAGGTTGACGGGAAGTGGGTCAATTAGCTGTCTGAAGATTTTTGCCACAAACACACAAACAAAAGGGACGTTAATATAATGGATTTAAAAATAGCTCTCACTAATAATAATTTGAATAAAAACTTTAAATGGTCTCCACAGAATTTATCATTTATAACTATTTTGTTTCAGGAAATACCATGCTGTGTGTACAGTTCAATCACTGGCTCACACAGGCTAATTTAATTTTTCATATTTCCTGCACTGGCAAATCTATTTTAAAAATTCAAATAAATTACTTTCACTCTTTAAAAAAATCATAAGAAAAAATATACCCGTAGGTGTATTCCTTGCAGATTTTTTTTTTTATGGATGATCTAATCCAGGAATGAAATGATATGACAAAAGACAGGTTACATCCAGTGGCAAAGGAAAGGAAGGCTCAACTTTGTGAAATGAGTTTCTCTCAGGTGATAAAACACAATTACTAATTTGAGCTGTTGAAAACCTGACATGTGACTGAGTGGGTGATAAGATAAAAATGTTCTTCTCTTCACTGGACAGGCTCACAATGACAGTGGGTCAGATAACATGATTGGATATTATATAAAAATTAATTTTGAATTCAAAAGCTTTTATATTTTTACCAAAAACCAACTGACTGATATACTTACTACCTGGACATTTGTGATTCATCAATGCTGGGTACAAAAATATTCTACAGTCAAAATATGCTAGTTGTAAATAAAATAAATCCATTGTTCTACTCAATATTTCAAATCTCTTTGTGGTATTTCTCATATTGGATAGCAATTTAATTTGCTTATAATCTCATAGCTTTCTGCAACAGTTTGTTATTAAAAACTATATCACGTTGTTACCACTAATTGCAAAATATATGTGGACCTATTTTATAATAAGGGGAATATTTTATTTTTTTAAAACAACGAATATTTCTTAAGACAACTAAAAATATTCAATTTTAATCATAGCTCTGATTAATTAGTTACAACCATAAAATTCAAATAGGTTAGATGAGGCTTATCAACACGACATTTCTGACCTGTCAATTTATTGAATTGTGATGCATATTTTTTAAAATCTCCAATTATTCATGATCTCATGGTATAGTATGAAGATTTTTAATTCAATTATCTTAAACTAAATAACCCAAATGATAGCAAACTTGGAAAATTGAAGTGATTGTGTGGTGCAGGAAATACAATTAAGGAAATGGAGAAGGAAATGGTTTAACCATTCACTGCAGAGAACAAAATCAAGTGCTTCTAGACAGTTTCTGTCATGGATTCAACAGGGTAATATAAAGAGAAGAAAGAGGCCAAAGTCACTTGAAAAAGTTCATAGACAGAAGGATGCCAACCATATTAATTAAGAAGACCTAAGAATAGCTTATTAAAAATTACAATTTTACATAGCCTATAACTTAAAGCTATGGTGGCCAACCACAGCAGGGATGCAGCCCACTCTCTGTCCTTCAGGATGCCAATTTGCCCCAGCAGTATAAATAAAGCCTCAGTATTGGGGTTTTATTCAAATATTGGCACTGTGCCATAAATAAGTGTGCTTTGAAAATGTTGGGTTTCAGTTTGGGCACTTTGGCTCTTTTAAGTACACTGTACTGTGTGTAACAGAAGTGTGTACCAAATGTAATATGTCAGCTTTCCCCAATGCTAGGTGGCAGACCAGTACCATGCCAACAAAATAAAAAAATACTGAGCCACACAAGAAAAAAACGCTCATAAACCTAGCTAGGATTTTAATTTTTTTTAATGGTGATTTTTTTTTTTATTTTTTTTTTTCCTGCCAATCCTGCAGAACCAGAAAAAATTAATGCTGATTCATGACTAATTACTAGTGTCAGTGAAAGGTAAATAAAATTGGATCTGATAATAAACTTGTTATCTTTTTCTTCAAATTCTCCTCCCAATTTGGAGAAATATAACAATAACACACACATCCACATACAAACAAACATATCAATATAAATACAAATAAACACCTAACCGGTAATATCCTACTTCACATAAATAAATAATTTACCAGGTTTCTGTTTGATATCTTTGAAATTATTGAAGCCAGGAAAACCCACAAATAGTGGGGCAACAACTTGACAACTCAGAAACCAACTCAGCTCGCATCAGCTTAAGTTAATTCTAATATCTTCGAATTTGACTGGTGAAAAATATCAAAGGAAGTAAGGAAGCCATTGTTTTACAGTGTTCCAAAACAAGGGAAGCTACACTTAAAAATAAATTTAGAGTTTAGCTACAGCATGACGACTTACCACCCCTGAAATCTGCAATACAAAATAGTACTGCAGAAATGGTTACCATGGACTTTCGAAATAGTAAATTATCGTTTCAGAACAGCTGCCTACTTCGCAATTTCAAAATTGTACAAAACCATATCGAAAAATTAAATAAATAAACAATCATTTTAATGTATACAATAACTACCCGCATCGCATGTCTAAATCAAAAGAGATGACTGGAGTTTATATATTTATATTAATTATATAGCCTATATATAAAGCACTGAAAATAAAAATGTGCCCGTCATCGCTGTTTTTATTATAGATAAAGCTTTCCATTGATTGATGATTGATAATTGATACCAAATGCAATGTGGTCAGGCAATTTTAAGTAGCCTACGCCTACATGAGCGAATTGTTAAAAAATAAAAACATAATAAAATAAATTACTTACTCTTAGGCTTAGGGTAAGCCCCGGTAAGTGGTAAGCTAAACAAAATTATTCAAAATAATATAATTTTTTTTAAAAATCTTTTATCTTTTAATTTTAATAATTAAGTTTAAATAAAAAAGCTTCTTTCTGAAACCAAATCTATCGAAACTCATAAATATACACAAATTAATATTTTTGCCGATTCACTAGCACCGCCCTTTAACTTTAACATTTACGAAGTGGCTATTCGCACCCGGGTACCAGAAGTGAGAGGTTAGGATTAAAAAACTAAAATGTTATTATTAGATTAGTATTGTTGGGTTCGTAAGACAAGAGAGGTATCAAATGAAAGATAATTGAATGGACTATATGTTTGTAAAGTTACTTCTTCAGTTTAACTAAAATAAACTACCACAAATGACATCCGAATTTACATTTATAATTTATCTTGTCTTTTAAACTTTAAATTTATATGAATTCGTAAGATCGTCATAGTAAGATGTTGCTTTCTTCAAACGGATGGCTATAGGTACCCGCAGCAAATGGCTATGCGGACCCGTCTGGTCACGTGAGGTCTATATAGTATTCGGATGGTCACGTCGAGGTTATGACGGTTACTTCCTGTTGGTTGCCATCTTACATCTTACAGCCATTATTATCAACTGTGCCACATTTTCAAGACTTTTCTCGTTACGCTGAAGAAACACGAAGAATGAAGAATGGTGTGACGTACAGCTCAAAGAATGTAAGAATACGTTTATGTTTATATCTTTATGGTATTTTTAAATTCTAAATATATCTCTATTATCATTAACATGACTTCAAACACGATCAAAGCTGCTTTTTTTTTTGGTGGCAAATCAGCTACTGATACTGTCTTATCTGTAATTGTAATTTGATATTATTCTAACTTATTGAATTTCTAACAAACCATACTGGGTAAAAGTGGAGTTCAGGTGCGTATATTATTTCTTAATGCCTTTGGGGCCCCTACTAAAAATTTCATAACTTTTGAACCACTTGTAGATACTTCGATGAAACCAGGGAGACTACTACTTTTTGTGTATCGGAAATAGAAATCGGCGCCGAAAAATCTGAGTTTTTAATTTTCCGATGTGTGTGTCTATTTATTATTAAATTAGTACTTTCGATATATATTTGAGTTCCGTTTTCGGCCTTATAATTAGGTAGACATCTTGGCCTACATTTTAATCAATTTCTTTTTCATTTACAATCAGTCAGCTTTGAGAAAATCCTTGGTAAATATAAGGCAACTTTCATCATTAAAATTAAGTCGAAGGAAAAAATTTGTCACTACCAAATTTTTTTGCATCTGGGGAATCTATTGATCTACATGTATGCCAATTTTCACAGCGATAAGTGTCTTACGAGAGACGCTATGTTTCTACGCGTTCGCAGCAGGTCATGCAGCTCGCTCAACCCTAATTTCGCCATAGGGTGGGCCACGCCCCCTTTTTAATGGCGGAAGTTGCCGATACTTAGGAAATAATAATTTATTACCATTTACATCAAAATAATTGATAACTTGTGTTTCAGAATGCATTTTGAAGACATTTAAACTGGAATGTTTTAATTTGAGCTTTAACAACCCGGTAGAATCCATATTATAAAGGGAAGCGTTATACACAGTCGACTGCGCATAACCCTGAGGGTTATTCACAGCCGACTGCGTTTAACTCTCAGGGTTATACGCAGTCGGCTGGGAATTTAGCCAAATAAGGTTTATTATCGCTTGTTTGGCAATTTAAAAAAAAGTATTATGCGTAATTAGCTGCATGATGGGATGTTTTGAACTAGAACTTTGCATGTGTTTAACGTAAAATTTTAAAAGAATTAATTTTAATTAATATCGAAATTGATGATAGCAATAATATTAGTATTAGTGCTATTATTAGTATTATTGCTTGTATCTTATATATTATAATTATAAGTCAAAGTCTACATTTCTTAGAGTCTAAGCCTAAGTCTAAGATTTTTTAAAAGGCAGATCCATGGTCTAAGTCTAGTTATGTATTTTGATTGATTAGGTTTTTATATGTTGCTATGACTATGTGGTTGGTTTTACTGACTAATTCAGGAAATACATTCTATTTATCTTTTTTTAAATTTTATCATTTATGATTTTTTTTTTTTTGATGACCTAAATGTAACAGTTTTCAGCTTCCATGCAAAACTATAACTGTGTGAAAGTATTACTTACACTGACCCTCTACAGAACCCCTGCCCCTATCGGGCGATTTTTTTCCTGCTACTCTCAACCCATGATTATTTTTATTACTGTACCAGTGAAACATGATTTTATCTGCCACAAAATTAGTTAACAACACAAACATATATTTGATAATTATAAGTATAAGATTATTAACATTACATTGGTCAAGTTAATAATTCTTCTCATGTTTTAACATTTTTTAGCCAAAAAAAGAGTAAAACAAATAAGCCTAGTTGTTGCTTCATTCTCGAGAAAAAGCATAGCAACTAACGTGTATTGATGGCTTGCCGTTGGCTGGAATTGAACTCCAGACCATCAACTTGATGGTTTGGTCAGTTTAGACCATTCGACCACACAGTCACCCCGATAGCAAGGCACCCTTATTGATTGATACTGTAACACAGGAAGAATATAGACGTCACGTGACTTGCCGACTGCGTATAACTCTCAGGGTTATACGCAGTCGGCTGCGCATAACCACTTCGTATTATAAATGATCAAAATTTCCTGTGTGCAACACGTCATTGGCAACCATTCACAGCCACTTGCATAATGGCTGTATCGTAGTACTACCTCAGAGTTTCATTCATAAGAGTTTGCCGTGTGCAAAAACTACTATACCATTGGTCAGGGAAAGCTTTAATTAATTATTCATGTGCCAAAGTTGAAAGTTTAAACTAAGTCGACCCTAAACAGTATTTTAGTGATAAGGCGATGCGTTGCCTTATATAAAGTATATAGTCATTGCGCATGACGCGATCAGCGGAATGAGGTCACAAGATGTGGAGGTTTCGTCCATAGTAAAAAATACCAAACGAACTCACACTTTAAAAATTCATAGCTCAAAAAGTACTTAAGCTAAAAAGTTGATTCTGGTTTCATTTTTTTATTTGAAATTAGCTTTAACTAACTGTGTTATTTAAAAATTGTTTCAATTTTTTTAAATTTTGTATTCAAGTGCCTACACTTGAGCTAGAAAGTTGATCTTGGTGTTTTTGTAATCTATTCTCTAGGCTCTATGCATTTTTATATTTTTTAAAATGTTTGGAAATTTTCATCAAAGTGCCTACTTTGGATGTGGCTATTCGGACCCAGTATCAGAAGTGGATACTGCAATTTTAATTCACCACAAAAATTATTATTATTCACACTTCCCATAAAACAAATGTTCTTTTGAATAAAAAGTGGTAAATTCTGAGAGATCAGCCCGTGGCCGCCATCTTGGTTGTCGTGGACCACGAACTTATGTCCTAAATGTGTCCCTAAACCTAACCTGAACCCTAATTCTCTGCAACTTTAATAAACACGCAAATGACGTCACGGGCTGATCAATCTAAATTAGCCTAAAAGACGTTTACTTCAAAAATTATTATGCATTATTTCACATTTCCATCAAAACACTTCACACTTCCACTAAATCAAATGTTATTTTGAATTAAAACATACTTACTTCTTTAAAGGTCCTCAGCTACTGTAGTGGCCAAAATTGAACAATATCGTCTGGAATGGCGTTAACGACATAAAAAAACCATTTACTTTAACACGTTGACGCCACATGAACTCACACATATACGAATTGAGCATATATCTGTGTGTGCCATTTGTGGCGCTTGTTTCTCTTTTTTGTCGATTTCCACGAATGTTTGATGCTTAGGGTATTGGCAATAAATATTGGCACCTGAGTTCCTGTCCAAAAAGTTAATAGAATGAATGACCGTTTGATGAGTCAATCCCGGAGTGGTGCGAATTGCATTATATGCTCTCCATTGATCTGACATGACTGTTGTGCCCAGCAGGATGTGCGCTGTGATTATTGGCATAAGTATAGCTGCTGATCTATCTTGTACACAAAACATGAAACACTCACTAATCTCCTGACAGATGCCTCCAAAGACCCATTGTTGTGGCAAAACTCATCGATGTGATTTTTTTCTGCATGTAAACAGACTCGTTGTTTTCAACTGAGAATAAACATGACTTACCAGTGTAAATTGTATGAATTTTGTGATGGATGAATCATGAATGGATCCTAGCACATGTGTTTTGGGAATTGAGGCCCTTCAGACACCCCTGACACAGAGATCTACTCCTTTTCCTGCCCTCAGGGTACTTTTCGGTTGCTACAGACAGAGCGGTCCTTTTCACCATTGTGCATCCAATTATGGTTTATTTGAGCTGGGTGTTAATGAGAAAGTTGTCTGCATACTTATTGGTTATTATTATTCTCTCTCACAAACATTTTAATGGTATATTGTGTAAAAATTAGCATAAGTCCTCAACTGGGGTGCTTATCCCATG